GTTGACATAAGGTGTGTGAGTGTGGGTAAAAAATTGGTGGACGTCTTTTATGGATGGCCCCTTATTACATGTACAGACAAAACTTGACTACAAACACTTCTATTCCAAATAATAAAAACAATATGTAAAAAATTTAAGTCATACCTTAAAAGTGCAATACTATAATGATACAAGTTATTAATGTGTGAGTGCAATATTTTTTATTAAAATACTTTTATTTTGTTATATCAATGTATTTTGTTTATTTCTAAACTATTATAAGTGTCAAGTGCAATGTATTTTTTTTTACTGATATTATACTATTTTTTTATCAGTTGTGTGATGATTAACTAATTTTAAACAAGTATGATAGTAAAATCTATGTCTTAAGTTTATTAAAAATTGTTTCTGTTATTGCATATGAATGTTGTTCTAATAAAAAAGAAACTATCAGGAAACCTGTTATAATAAATCTAATTACATTACATATTTCTCTGGAAAACAAAACTTAAAAATTTTTTAAACACCTGAATTTTAAAAATGATTTTTAATCTTATACTTCTGTCTACCTATATAGTATAAGTCAAAATATGTGAAAAATAAACTCTGCTGCTGTCTAAAGATTGAATGATATTTTCTCATAAAGATTAATTATAAACTTCAAAATCACTTGTGCCTGTGCCATTGCCATTTCTTTTTAACCCACGAACTGTGTTCAGCCGAAAAAATCGGCCGCCATTCTCGTTCTGTACTGTGGCGGCCTATGAAAAACACAGTCAGCTAGCAACATCCAATCTAATAGTTAACCGGAATTATAACCCTTTCCTTTTATTGATAATTAAATCATCTTCCGGTTCAAGCTGTTTAGTGATAACTTGAAAATACATACTTTTTAATCTAAGTTTTTTTAAAGCTAAAATGGTTGAAGCTATGGCTGGGCCTTCAGTGCAAGAACTAATGGAAATATGTTTGAAAGCTTTTTAGGGGAGGTTTTAAGTGATACTGATGATTTTAACATTCTCCATGACGATACCAGTTGAGATTATTCTTCTTGTGAATTTTACACTAGTCTTAGTGATACTGAGGTAGGCCTACTGAGGCTACGATTAGACTTCAAGCCAGGCACGGAGGTTGGTCAAGGACTGACTGAATTTTAGTCACAGAAGCTACAGCTTATAGTTCAGAACTAATTTTATAGTTAAACAACCCAAATCAGTTCCACAGTTCCTTTTTAAATGTTTACTAGTCAATTATAACTATATTGCCTGAGATTTTGTACTTGGTTTTAGCAGTAGTCCCAGTTTCTTATATAAATGACCTAAAATTATTAAAATTGCTTTCAGAGGTTTAATTGCAATCAAAACCTTTGCAAACTATACATTTTCTTGAAGATAAATAAATTGGCTACAAAATTTAGATTTGTGTTTTCAGTGTATCTATACAAATTAATGATGTTATGAGCACTTGAAGCAAGAACTACAAAAATATAGCCCCCAGCACCAAAATCAGGCTGATGCGCTCGTTAGCCCTCTCCATTTTCCTGTATGCTTGCGAATCCTGGACATTAACAGCGGATCTTGAAAGGAAAATAAAGGCGATGGAGATGAGATGCTTCAGAAGCATTTTGGGCATCTGCTATAGGGACCATATCTCCAATGATACAGTGAAAGAAAGGGTTCGTCAGGCAATTGGGGAGTACGATGACCTATTGGTGACTGAAAAAAATGCAAATTACAATTGTACGGCCACGTAAAAGGAAACAAGGGCTTGCCAAAGAAATATTGCAGGGCACCACAAGAGGAGGGAGAAGAGGAAGACAAAAAAAGGTGGGAGGATAACATCAAAGAGTGGACAGGACTAACACTGGGTGATGCAGTGCGTAGTGCTGAAGACAGAGAGGAATGGAGGAGGATGGTTCACATGTCATATGTGGCGCCCCAACGGTCCAAGGACTGAGGGACATGAAGCAAGATATTTAGTCGATTTTTTTTTTCTTGAGAACTCCAAGGTCAAGGACACTGAGCAAAATTTTTTTACGGGTTGGCAATATGGCCAATGTTATCCCCATCCATTTACCGTTCTAAAAATATATACTTATAGGGGTCTTGTATCAATATTTCTATGTCATTTAATGCAATTTCAAATGGCACTCAAAACGCTCTGAAAAGCTCCACACCACAGAATGATGCATGCCACAGTTTGTGGGTTAAAAATTAATGAGATAAATTCTTTTTCAATTACATTTTGTGTAATTGCTTTTCATATAAGTACAATTTATAACAATGAATTTTACAAGGAACATAAGTTTAAAACTGAAGAAAGCCTCATATGCTGGATTTATTTATTAGTTAAAATGGAAACAAAATAAATACAAAGGAACACAAATGATAAAAGCCATTACTTTCTGAAGGCCTAGTGTGAACATTACATAAGAACAGAAACTGTTAAGCAATTAGACATTGAATTCATTACAGTAATTTCTGCCAAAGGTGATATTTTCAGCTTACTTTTTTAGAAAAAAAAAGGTTTCAATTTCAAGGTGACCGGTATTTTTTTAAAGTTTTTTAATATGATTATTTTTTATTACTTCAACAGTTAAATAAATACTGTCAAAATAATTTCATTTTGGTACATTTCATTATCAGCCTACTATCAAACATGGATACTGCATTTTTTAAAATAAAACATCTCTTTCCTTTTCATAAATTTAAATGCATATTTTCACCACAGTTTTATTTTGAGTCTTCATGGACCAATTAATCAAAAACTTAAACCATATTTTTTACTGGTACCGGTATTGTGATTAGCTAATAAAAATTAAATTTCATTAACAGCAAGGGAAAAAAGCAAGCAATTCTCTTTAAAAAAAATATTAAAAAACCTGTCTTCTAAATAAATTATAAAGATACCAGTACTAAGTTTAAAACTAAATAAATTTCAGCAAAATTTATAAAACATAACACAAAGGCACATATGTTCCAGTTTTGGAACAAATTTAATGAGTTAGCTATGAAAAAAATACACTTGACTGCTTTTAATATATTTCATAAAATATAATAGTACATTCTGTAACTGTAAATAAACCTTTTTGAACCATGCATAACCAAAAATCTGAATCTCTTGGCAAAACAAGTAACTACAAATATCCCCCAAAAAGTTAAATGAATGCATACACTTTGAAACTAAATCAGTGGCTCCATTAACAAATATACGGCACTGGAAACAGAAAGTAAAGCACTGATGACAGAAATGAACACAAAGATAACTGTCCTTATCTGTACATTCACTTGCACTAACTTACTTTTGCTTATGGAGAAAAAAACAACTTTTGACAATTTTATATAGTAATGTCCTTACTCATCATTTGGATTGTTTTTACTTCAGCCCCAAGGCATTGAAAACCTAAAGAAACAAACAAAGTTTCTCAACGTGCCGAAATGATATTGATAATATCTAATGATTTCTTTATATAGTTTTTGATTGATTGTTCTAGAAACACTGAATTTAAAAAAAAATACAAAAAAAACTCTCATTCTTCAAATGCAATTAAAATTGATATCTATTACTGTCGTGATGAACAAGCAATGTTTACATACAATAAAATGACAAGTTTCCAAAAAAAATAATAAAATTATAACTCTACAAAAACATGATCTACTAATGAGTAGAGTTTTAAAAAATGTCTGCATCAATAATAAAACTAACAGCCACTTTCAAATCAGAACAATTCAATGGAAAATTAAAAATAAAATATTTTAAAATAATAAAGAATGTAATTTGAACAGCTTTTGAAAAAGAGTGCTGTCACAGGCCCAAAATGGTTCAGTAACATTAATATTTAATCTCTCATCACATTTAAAACCATTTGCTCATATTTCATTTTTGAAATAATTTCACCCGACACCAAGCACACATACGACAGGAATAATTATCATATAAAGATAATACACATCCTTGTTTCACACAAGCCCCATCTAAAAAGTTAATTTTTAAAAAAAATCTTACAAACACGACCACATTGTTGAAATAAAATTTCTGGCCTTGATAATGCATAACTACAACCAATGATAGCAGATAATTCTGTGTGTGAATGGACATGAGGCTAAGCTATTGAAGTAATCTTGGTAACACAGAAAGCATGAAACATATCTGGCTGGATTCCGGATTTGAAATCTTCAAATAAAATTGTTGTAGAATTTAACCAGAGATCTGAGTGAGTGTTTTAAAAAAGCTAACAGTAGAAAAATATGAATTTATTATTCTTTCTACACCATTGCATTTGACCAGGAGCTGGCAGGTTATCTTTTAAGTTTCATTTTTCTAAAAGATTAAGCTCTAAAGGAACATGGGTAACCTCTGTCTTTTAATTTGTGTCTAAATTAAATTGTAACTTTTAGTTTATCATAAATGCCTTAAATTTTTTTTTTTTCAATTAAGTCATTAATAATTATTCATTGAGGGATTGAGTGAGTCAGTTAACATTGTACAAAATATAATTTGTAAAAAAATGTGTAACAGTTCAAGTCACGCTGTTTCAACTCTGGAATTATTTTTCCATTTCAAGTACTGCACTACTGTATTTACAATAAACAAAATTTTGCTCTTGGTCATCCTATCAAATACAATTTGAGGCTAACCACTATTTGAAGAAGAAAAAAAATCACCTGAATGTATAGACTGTCTACAGCTTTCAAAAGGTCTTTCCAACTTTGCTATTTCTATAAATTGTTTTCTACAGGGAGGTAAAAAGACCTTGGACAGAAAGAAATGATCAGGATAAGAAGAGAAAGCAATAGTAATTAGAGGGAGCAGAGAGGATAGTGAGAAATACGGTGGTGTGTAGCCCGGTGACATTGTTCCTGCACACATATCAACAGCATCGCTTGGAGCTTGTGTCTTGCTGACCTATGTTAACCCCACTAGGTTCTGACACTCTGCCTGGGGTCTGAGAAAACAAAACAAAAATCTTATTGCATACATTTGACTAAATCAATATCTTACAATAAAATAAATAATTGACACATATTTTACAGGAAAAATCAAACCAATTAGCCAACATAAGGAAAATAAAATTGGTGACATTAACCCTTTTTTCAAACACTAAGCATTCAATAACTGTCATCAAAAGCGTAAATCAGTTGTTTTGTAAATTAAATCAATCTTTAATTTGTGAGCACAATACGTTAATGAGGACCATACAGTTCCAGGTTTAATAGATATTTCTTTAACCAACCTTATTGAGGATAGCCTGTGCCAAGTTCATAAATGCCTTTTCCACATTGATATTGGCTTTAGCACTGGTTTCCAGGAATGGTATGTTGTGTTCTCTTGCAATCTGGTGAATGAAAACTCCATATAAACATTTCTTTAGAAGGGTTTTCATTTACATAAATATTTTGCATTATGATTATTTTCCATGTATTTGAAAAAATAACTACTATACAACAATTACATAACTTCATAATTTTTAATGCTTTTAACTATTTCAACCTTAAAATTATAAGACGTTTGAAAACTCAACAAATTGGTAAACAGCATAAGGAAACATTATGTACCTTTAGTGAAACTGATGGAACAACTTACCATTACTTTTGTTAGCTTTAGAATATTTTTGTATGTTTAGCGCTAAGTTGAATCAATTTAAAGTGCCTAAACCTCAAGATAGTATTTTATTTTGTTTTCCTTGGCTTTTTAAATTTTCCTATTAAATCTTAATTTATTTTTTTGTTACAAACTTAAAAGAATTGACTTTTATTGACTTTATTGCCAAAGCCTATTGCATAAAATATTACAATTTAAAAATAATAAAATGTACAGCTGTAGATATGTAACTTAATATTTAAAAAGTAAACAAAACCAATGCAATGAAATCAGACCGCACACTCAAATTTTAAACACTCTGATAAAGTACCACACCTTGTTATTCTTCCCCCAGTTTCTTTATTGTCTTCTTTGGCTTGGCTCACATAGTGTGTTCAACCATGTTATCATTGTGTTGCAGTAACACCCCCCCCCCCCCAAACCAATGCCTTGAGTGAGTTAAACTCAGTAGATTTTTTTATACACTTATTCAAGATTAAGGTCAGCCAATGATAAATATCCCACCATTAATATACTCCACATGGGACTGAGGTTCATTCTTTTCATCTCACCAAGCACAATGATCAGATCACTACTACTTGCGAATCCTTTGTGTGAGAAAATCATGACTTCTATTGTTTTACTTTAAGACATTTTAATACTATGAATTAAAATTATATTGCTTTAATCATGTCGATCTTTGATCAATATTGAAGATATTAATAAGTATGATCATAAGTTTTGCATCAAGAACATTTATATTCACCAAGATACTCCAAGCTGGACATGTGGTGGCCATTTGAGGTTTTTTTTTTTAGAACTTCATCCCATCTTAAAGATGGGGAAGTGATTTTAGATATTTGTTATCCCAAGTTACTTGTCAATAAGACAGGGGGATACATTTATCAATATATATATTATTTTATAATGATTAAATTGTGTTATTTTGATTGATAAAATCCTTTGCCCAAAATCAGTGCTAGCCATACATGCATGTGCTGGCAATGGTAAGGATAAATGATGTTATCCATACAGTAGATGTTTATTTATGACCAATGGTACACATCGGCCTATCAAACACTGAATATCACTGCGAGTTTTTAAGACTGTGCAATGACATCATAATGCTGGAAAGTCCAGCAAAAAACATACAGCGGGAAAGGCCGTTCCACAACATACAGCTGTACAGTCCACATCTGTCCCCGCCCTGAGAACTTTCAAAGGCAAGGAGAGGAGTTTACACTTCCACCATAGAAGTGACCTTGTGTACTGATCGATCAATCCAGATCATCAATTATTATAATATTGATAAGATAAGATGTAAACAGTCATAACATATCTCTCATACTACAAAGTAAAACACAATGATGATGAATTGTTAGGTTATTACGGGAGGGCAATATCCATAGTCATTAGAACTTTGATTGTAAATTTTATATGTAAACATTGATCTAATCCATTCTTATAAGCATTTGACTTTTCATCCTTGTATATATAATATATAAGTGCATATGAATGAGGACTATTTTGTGGTTGATTTGAATCTAAACATAAAATCCCTAGACACAAGCAGGTAATAATTTATACAAGAGTTATCTACCAATATAAGTATTTTAACCACAATCAACTTTTTCACTTTACTATTGTTTCAACAATAAAATATTAACTTTTAATTTTATTTATCCTTTTTTAAAAAAAACTATTAGTTGCCCATGTTCTCTTTCAGCCTATTTCTTATAGAATTTAAACATGCATTTTATTTTACTTCAGGCAAATTCTGATTAATTAAAATAATGTTTGGCAAAAAGTTTTATTTATCATTATTTCAATTTTCTAGGTCTGATGAAAACATTGCAATTCTTCCCCAAAAAATTGGAAATGTCACATCACTGTTTTTGGCCAACACCTATCAGTCTGCAGACCACAGTGTGAGAACAATTTCATTAAAGTCAACCACGTGTTGCAATGCTATAGATGCATGTCTTCTGACTTAGATGTAGCAGATACATATAGGGTCGTACTAAAAATGCTAATTTTAATAAATATAGCTTTGGTCTTACAACAGCCAGGATAAATTCCGAATGTTAAAAAAAAACTGCCACGAACTATCCCATAACATAAAGACTTAACATACTGCGTCTCCTCTGGCTGTTGGAACTTGTCTCTTATCATCCATGTCACATTTGTTACCAAGGATCATCTTCTCTACATCTTCATTTGCATGCTGATAATAAAAAAAACAAATACAAACTTATGTATTACTCCAATAGTACTCTCAATATTAAAAATTCTTTAGAATCATTTCAACATTACACTTAAAATATAGGCATCTACTTGACTTTCTTTTTTGGCAACTGATGCAAACTTAATTTTTTTTTTAAAGGAACCAGTTCAATCAGCCTTAATTGTGTATAAATAGAATTTTGTTTACTACTCTGAACTAAGTAATCATTAAATTATTTCCAGATAAAGCTTTTTCTTTAGGTTCAACTTCTTGGAACAAGAATTACAGACACAACACACAATGTAAAGAAAGAATTAAAACAGCTATTCAGTTTGCGGCCAGCACAAACAGTCCAAGGCAGAAAAAAATGTAAAGTAATGCTATGTAATGTTCACAGCTGCTATCTTATTTTGAAATTAGATAACATCAAATATGCTTGTTCAATGTCTGCATTAAGCAAGAGAAGTGACTATTGACTATATTATTAATATAAAAATAATTATAAGCGTCCACTATTATATTGAAATTTTCATAAATATTAAAGACAATCAATAAGGAGAGTTTTCAAGTGCCACTTTTGTTTCAACCCATAGTTCAGGTCATAGGGATAATAGTGGGCACAACTTTCCCCACAAGACTTTTGTGTAACAAAAACACTGATAAGTTGCAAGTCCAGGTTTAAGAAATCAAAGAGCAAACACACTTTAAAAATTTATTCAACAAAGCATTTAATGAACTCAATATAAGAAGCCTAAACAGAAGCATACTGTAAGCTGTTAGCTTGCACTATCATGGGCCTTTTTTAAATCCATTACATTTTAAAGTTTTATATAATGTTATCAGCTTCCATTTTGGGATAGTATTTTCTGATGCAATTACACATTAAATGCTGTTTCCCCAAATTGCCCTAATGCATGAATTCCAGTTTATTAAACTTTAAACAAATTAGGAGTGGAAGCCTTATATGACACAATGGAATAAAAAAATTAAACATAATAATTAAAGGTATACAATTTATTTTGTAACATTATTTTTACCCAGTACATGATGAAAGGTACAAACACATGTAGCCACTTGGTCAAACTTTGGAACCCAAAAAAACTACATTACATTTACCTCGTCAATGTTTCTCAACCACTTTGAAATGTTGTCAAAAGTCTTTATATTTGTGATATCGTAGACCAACATAATGCCCATGGAGCCGCGGTAGTAGGAAGTGGTAATGGTATGGAAGCGTTCCTGTCCTGCAGTGTCCCTGTATATTTAGATTAGATATGAATTAGATTTTTAGTAATAGAGATCCATTTTCATTTATTTTAAATATAGATGCATTCTGGTTAATTGCACTCATCCTGTTCCAACTTGTGCTAAGAAAGTTACTTCACCCTAAGAGGAAATGTGACTGGGTATCTGGTTACAGTAGATTATGTAAGGATTAAATAAATCAATATAGTCTTTGATGCCTTTGCTTAACTCCGAATAAAGATTTTGAGAATACTATTCTTCAATGAAATTGCGATCAAATAATGTTAGAAGACTAATCAAATTTTATATATGTCACTCCAATGCTTGACAGTTTGAATTAATAAATTATTTTAATCCGGTGTGAAATAATAGCAGTCCCACTAGATAAGTTGTTTTTTTTTGGGTTTTTTTGTATCAGCTGCTGCCATTCAAAAAATTAGATACATTTAACAAACAAATTTGAAGTTCTAAAGCCAAAGATTAAAATACTTTTCTCTTTCTTTATAATAAGCTATTAATGTGCCCTTAGCCTTATGCCAGGGTTTTCTAAAAGGTGCCTCAAGTAAGTAATTTGAAAATTCAATTTTGGAATGGACTAAAAACAACTTATTCCTTAAGTTCTAATCCAGCCAATCGAACTGACCTAATTCAACTATCATGATCCTCTTGAAATAATTGTAATACCCCCACCCCCAACCAAATAAATACAATTAAATATCAAAAGCAATGTTTCTAAATAAATGCTTACTTACCATATTTGAAGTTTAATCTTCTTACCACCTAACTCCACTGTTTTTATTTTAAAATCTATACCTGGTAGTAAAAAAACAACAACTGTAAACAACTTTTTTTGATTTTGTACAGAAACAGCAGAACACTTTCAAAATAGGGATAACTTTCTTTTTTCAAATTAACAAACATTATTTTACTTTTAGTTTTTAAGTATAGGTGACTATAAAAATGCCATCTCTTGTGAGCTCAATGACTCAATGCATTAAATTATGGTATTGTCTAATTCTGTTTATAGTGGGTCTTGATTATAAAACTGTCCCATTAAAAAACAATTCAGGAACCTAAGAAACCTACAAGAACTAAAGTGACAAATTATCCATTATGAGGTTATTCCTCTTTTAAAATAAAAACTGACAAAAAAAATAAGGTTATTTTGTGTGTTTCTCCTAAAAAAGGAGCTTAGGTACACATATTTATATTTCATATTTATTAATATTTTTAGCACAACCAGAACAATAGTAATTTTAGTACTAGCTAGGGCTAGGGCTTCAATTTAGCATAGAGGACCATCCACAAATGATGTCAGACATCTGAAAGGGAGGGTGCGCGAATTTGCATTGATGTATTAGTCTTAGTATTAGGGTATCTAAATTGTGTGATAAAATGTATAAGATTTGGGGAGGAGGGGGGGGGGGGGGGGGGGGGGGTGTGTGTGTGTGTCTAAAATCAGCCAAAATAGCCTGACATTGAAATTTATTTGTACACAAATTTTGTTAATAAAAGCTTAAATCCTTTGAGCCTATCTACGACTTTATAAAAATTAAATTAAACTTAATTCATTCTGATTCTAAATCATGTATTAAATTGTATAGGAATAGCTTGGCAACTGAATATGGCAGGTTAATTAATTAATTAAAAACTAGGCTGTACCATAACCTAGGCCTAATAATTTCGGAAATCTGTCAAAAATTAAGAAATAGCAATAATAGTAAATTAAGTATTGACAGTAAAAGCCTAAATTTAAATAGTCCTGTCCTAGACCCAAAATAAGGCTAAACTAAACTAGGCCTAAATCTTGCATTTTGATTTTAAAAATTTAATTAATTTACCCTGGACCTACCAATAGTGGATATAAATGTTGTATTGAATGCATCATCTGAAAATCTGAAAAGTAAGCATGTCTTCCCAACTCCTGAATCACCAATTAGCAACAGCTTGAAAAGTAAATCGTATGTTTTCTTTGCCATCTTCCGTGTTTGTTTATCAGTATCAGTCACAAAAGTCAAATTATGCTATGAAAATGTAAAGCCAAAATGTTGATTGAAAGAAGGATTGGAAAATGCCACACAAAATAAACAGAAGTCCAATTAGACCTTAGTAATTCTTAATTAATCGCTTTAGGAAGTGTACACAAAAATTTGGTAGTAGACCCACTATTTATATGCCTAGGTCCAATTCTTCAACTTCAAGTCCAAGCGACACAAATAATTGAATGAAAATGAAAAATGTGATCGACAGTGATAGTAAAACACTATAAGTATCTCCAATGTTAACTCTTATTATGAGCACCTATTAAATGGAAGTAAACAAATATAACTCCTTGGTGAAATAAATACGTTTATGTCATTCATTCTTCATTTTTAAACGAATAAAACGCATTAGAAAATTAACTTTGCAGTGTCACAAGAGTCTCCACTCTTAGCTGGCTCTCCCTGACATGACGTCACATCCCTTTCCGGGATGAGTTCATATTTTAAAAAATTGAGCTTGGTTATTGGAAAGTTGTGTAATTTTCTGTAACCGCTTTGTCGATTAATTCAAGTAAGCGCTATTGCTATTTTTGGATGTAAAAGTAAAATTAAAAATTATTATTATAGGTGCGATTCATCCAGTAAATTATTCATTTCGGTTTTTCAAGTATATTTTTTTTAAATATATTATTACTACTATTTATTAGTTATTAAGTTATTAGTGGTCTTATATAGCACGGTACCCCAGGCCAGGGCTGGGCTCACCGCGCTTTACATACAAATATTAGCAAAAGAGACATACTCGTGACATTAAAATAAAATACATTTATGCAATAAAGAACAGCTGTATAACAACAAAACAAAAACAAATGCATCTTCAGTCTGGGACCCATTTACTCAGAAGAGTATTGACAGGTTGGAGGCAGTCCAGCGAGGGGCAGCACGCTTTGTCCTGAACCGCTTTAGTGTTGGCAGCCAGGATTTCTTTCATCTATATCTCCGGGGGGCACAGGCCCCCACCCCGGGGAAAGCCAAGTGCCCCCGGAGCAAAAACATGTCCAACAATAAATCAACTGGCACTGCTCTCCCGAAAAATCTGAAGTGTCCCCCCGGGGGAAAATTTCTGAGATAATCACTGTTCGTAATCCTGGTATTTCTCAAGGTTCACTCTCAGATAACTCACAGCAAGTGGTCAATTTGCGAATGGACACCAATAAATGTTCTTCAGTCGCCAGTAGTAGAGGCTTCGCTTGAACAGCCTTAAACATAATTATTTGCTAATTACTTGATAATGATGACTGGGTACTTTTATAGCGTTTGTGTCCATCCTATTTTAGCATGCTCACAGCGCTGTGGTGTCCTAAAATTTATTTAAAGAAAAAATGTATTTAAATGGTTCTTAAATGACTTTTTATAATTTNATAGACTCATTTGTGTCTATTGTCTCAAGCCTTCAAACCCCCAGCGCATAATTCCCTCACAAAGTGACACTGGAAATCAGTGAAATGTCCACATCAACGCCAGGCACAGAAACATTGCAAATCCCCTCTACATGCATAGGAGCCAAAATGATCAATCAATGTATCGTGGGCCCTTAATATTTAGAAGAAGAAGAAGAAGAAATGTATATTCACCCCACCCACCCCCCCCCCCAGAACTTTTACATGGCAAACCATGGACGGCAGCCATCAGCATCGTTTATTGGTCAGAGGGGGGAATCAGTCAGGGTAGTAGAGTTTAAAGAGATGTGTTTTGAGTGCAGTTTTGAAGGCCTGGGTGGTTATTATATTGCGGATGTTAAGTGACAAGGAATTCCATTGTTTGGAGGCGCAGAAAGAGAAAAATTGTTCACCATATGTTTTTGTGAAATTTAGTGCATGTCTTGGGAACGGACAGAATACGCGTGTCTGTGGAGGAGCGAAGCTGTCGAAGGGGTGAATAGACAGAAAGGAGTTCGATTAGATAGGAAGGACAGGAATCCGAGAAAAAGTTGTAACAGACAGCTTGTAATCAATGCGTGTCTGTAAAGGGAGCCAATGAAGTGAGTGGAGTGACGTGATCACGGTTTTTTGTTGTTTTTTTTGCCTTTAGAACTAGCCTAGCAGCTGAGTTTTGAACTTTCTGCAGTTTTTCTATGAAGTGTTTTGGTGAACCTGACAGAAGAGAATTGCAATAGTCAAGACGAGAGAGAACAAAAGCACAGACTAGAGTTTTTGTTGGGCTAACTGTGAGGTAGTGGCGGATGGAGCTGATCTGACGGATGGCGGTGTATGCAGAATGACAAATGTGAGAGATATGTTTATCTATAGAAATGATGTTAGAAAGAATATAACCAAGATTCCTAGCATAGTATGTAAACTGTATGTTGGAGTTACCTTCTTGAAATGAGGTGGGGAGAGTTGAGGTAGAGGATGATTTGTGAATGAGAATTAGGAGTGCTTCGTTTTGTCATCATTAAGCTTCAACTTGCTGAGTGTCATCCATTACATGACTTCACCAATGCACCCCCACAAAGTCTGGACAGCGCAATTGACAAGAGAGGGATGGGTATGCTTGTTTAGCCACGTGTCATCTGCAAATGACTGGCTCTCAACAACATGCCTCCCAAGCAAGAGGAGCAATGCTCTGGTATACAATGTGAATAGAACCGGGCCCAAAACGGACCTCGGTGGCACTCCATACACCAAAATCAGCACTGCCGGCGAGACGACAATCGACAGAGACCGCCTGCGTTATATCGGAGAGGTAGGACCTAAACCAAGCCAAAACTGAACCAGAAATTCCAAAGTAATTTTAAAGGGTTTTGTAAAGTATTTCATGGTCAACAGTGTCAAAGGCCGCAATGAAGTCTAAAAGGATCAGGCCATTGTCCATTGCACGCAAGAGGTCATTACTGACTCTCAAGAGAGCTGTCTCTGTGCTGTGGAAATGACTATAGGCCGACTGATTAGAACTGAGAAGGGATTGGTCATTTAAGTTTAAGTGAACAAAAAGTTGTTTTAGAACTAGTTTTTCAATTACTTTAGATAAAATGATAAGTTACAGGTCTATATTAAAAAAAAAATTAATTTCCATCCAGACCAGGCTTCTTAAGCAATGGTTTGATGACAGCTGATTTACAAAGAGGGGGAACAGTGCCAGAAGAGAAGCTTACGTGTAATGTGTGGGTTTTCTTTGGGAGCAAATGATCTAATGACTCAACCAACAGGGGGTGGGGATGGAATCCAAAGAACATTACGTAGGATTAGATAATAATATACTTAGGCTTAACTAATAATGCGTAAATTATTTAATATATTCAAACTGAAACCATATTTTTTTTAATGTTAATAGTAATAGTAGGCATAGCAATTTCCTACTACTAAAAATGCATGTTAACTTGTATTATCTCATATAATACAACTTAATAAATTAAAATATTCGTTTCTTTATTTAGGAAAGGTTTTTTTTGGTCAATTACACCTGGAGATTATAAATTGTACGGTACCAATCTTTACCTAAGAAGATCATCAAACAGTTGAGTTGAAAAGTCTCTATCCTGGCCATACTCATAATCATAACCTAACCCCTTATCCTTTTACATTCAATATAGGTCCTTTAAAATTTCAGTGATGAGCAAAAAAGTATTTCCTTTCATTGTAATGTTTTCAAAGCATGGTCTCTTCTATGGTATTCCGGTTTGCGTGAAGGCCATCTGAGCCAGCCTAGGAGCCATCCATAAAGTTAGTCACGTTATTAATGACGATACTGTCGCAAATATCAGACCCCTCCCCCTAAAATCTGTCACACTCTCAAAATAAAAAAATTGTTTTAAAATTAAAAATTCATTAAAATTGTATGTAAAACACACTTAAATAACCAATTTATACAAGTGACATCTTTGTCACAGAATGGTTGTTACGGAGGAGGGCTCCGGTCCTGACTTGTCACAAACTATATTGACTTGGTAGTGGTCAGTGCAGGACCGCTCCTCTCTGTGATTTATATTGTGGGTGTCTAGGCGTTGAGACAAACAAAGCACAACGTAGACTTGAACGAAAATCAAGCAACTCAAACATCAGGTGTCCAGCGATAATGAAAATATGTTTATTTCTAAGATATAAGTTCTTCTGTTGTCTTCACTAACTGTCAGCTATCTATATGAATCTCTAAAGCTGTGACTGTTCAACTGTATCCTTTCAACTATTCCTATGTCAAACTAGTCAACTGTCGTCTCCTGATCTCTCTCGACTGTTCTACCTCTACACTACTGATATACCTCTCAACTGCCGCTGTACCTCTCAACTGCCGCTGTACCTCTCAACTGCCGCTGTACCTCTCAACTGCCGCTGTACCTCTCAACTGCCGCTGTACCTCTCCACTCCCCTGTATCCAAAAACTTCTCCCTTATATCTACCCGTCATGTGACTATAAACTCTGCTAGCTAACCAACCATCCCACGGTCATTGAATTGCCACATCATTAAAGTCAACATTCCCCGACCAGATCTTTTACCCCCGGACGTCCATTCCATGTCCTTACCCACCTATTAGCAGCTATCACGTTGAGACATTTTCCATTACTGATAATTAATCTAACTCTACCCCTGGTCTTCGTGAACATTCCACTTCCACCTGCTAACTAAAATTTGTTAATCGAAACCATTGGTGATACCCGCTACCACGCTGTCTACCCGGAGTCTCCCTTTTCCCAAGATACCATGTCTTCCCTATCTACCATAAACTCTGCCGATGTCAGGCTAACAATTCCCTAATTGTACCTTTGTGCTGCACCCACGCCCATCGCTCCCTTCTCCACCATGGTCATTTGTGACAATCTTCTGTCAGAATTCATCCATCACAACAGAAAGTTAAAGAGATCACTGTCACACTTTCGTAGACCTCCTCCGGAATGTGACGTACTTTATGGACGGCCCTCTAAACACGCGGCCACTGGATTAGTCGGCGTAGAGACTGCAAGCCTCGGGCTCCACTCTCACGGTTGCAAAGGTGGATTCGGAGCCTGAAGATGCGATTCTTCCTAAAATGTCGTTCAAGAGTGAGCAACCCAGCAACGCTCCAGCAGTTCGATATTCAGGTTATTGGGTGCATTCATAGACAGTCAGTCTGAAACATAGTATTCGCAGCACAGATTCAGTTACCATGTCAGGCCAGAGTATACCCCGGTCCAGATTAAACACTGGGTTAGTCTGACCTAGACCCTTCTACTCCAAAGCTCAAATAACGCGCCAGAAACCCAGGAAATCCTACAAGTTTGGTATGGCAAACTAGGACAAGATCAAGCTAGATCTCACCGCCGCTGAACAGGCCATCATAAAAAAAAATGCAACGAGGGAGAGGATGTGGAACCACAATGGTCGACCTTCAAAAATGTCTTATCCAACAGCATAGATCAAAAATGTCCTCTCAGCCACAGCAAAGAATCCATGTATTCTAACATGGCTGAACACACGGCTCAAGAAGTTGCTGAAGAGAA